GCGGCTGTTTGCCCGCGGGAGCGTTGGCGTTCTGCGGGGCCGTTAACCCGCCAGGCGCCGTGTGTAGCACCCAGCAGGGCCCCTTCCGCGTGCCCTTGTCCCGTAACACGGGGAGCCAAAGGTAACAGCCTCTGCCGCCCGCCAGGCACCCGCGGGGTAGCTCCTTAGGGCACCTAAAGGGTAGGCTGGGGCAGAGCTTGGGTAGCAATAGTGTTTCTCTGCGGCGCAGATTTAATTTCAGTCGTTTGTAAATTATTAACGACCCTATTAGGAAATTAATGAGAGATTCGGAGGAAATTAGATGGAGGAATCAGTAAAATCACTTTGGTCATTGTGACCTTGGTTCTGAGATGGGATTAGTTCAGATAACACAGTTAAGTTGTGTGCGCGCCTGTGACATTCAGTGTAAAGCCATAGTTAACTGAAGGGAGAACTCGTGGGACAATTCAATATAATGCCTAATGTAATTAAAAATTTTAAATTGCAAAATTCTTAAGCATATATCTATAAAGTTCGCTTGAAAGAATAATTACGCACAATGTGCTCTGCCTGTAGGCAGATTTCTTAGTAATTTATTTTCAAATAGCTGATGTCAGTGATTTAAATAAGACATTCCAGAATATTATTTCTCTGTGGTAGGATCTTGGCTACTTAATTTAAAATTGAATAATTGAAATGCCTAATAGAAAACTTGCATTAAGTACTTCACCTTTCCCCCCCCCCAGGGTAAGATGTCTGTCCCATACATAGTGCTTCTCTTGATTTCATACCCTGTTTTCATATTACCCTCCAATGCATTTTAAGATAGTCAGAGGTGGTTTAAATCTTCCTTAAATGACAGTTGAGCAGTATTCTGATCTTTAGAAGTTATGTTCTGTGTGCTGAATAGAAATGCATAGAGAGAGAGTGGGGTTTTTCATTTGAAAGGTAGGTTTGGAGCACTCATAAAAGCTGAATTTAGTTCACTTGTCAATTCTGCCACTTACTGTGAAAGCTTTATTTGTTGCTTCTTTCAGTTTGGGTAGGTTTTTTTTTCTTTTTTTCGTGGGGAGATCAGAGCTGCTGCTATTTAGACAGGTCTCTCCTTGGAATGTTGTTAAATTCAGCCAATGTTAGCTGTTACTGTTTCAGTGTGTGGAAGTTTTGATGTGAAATCTAATTAAATTCCTTCAAAAACCTTCCTTAAAACATCTTTTATAATGCCGTTTTTTAATTGGATGATTTTCAGTTGTAGGCAGAGTCTGTTCTTCAGATGTTTCTGCTTACTGTGTAAGTATAAAGGCTACAAGTTTGTCTCCTCACATATGCATGTAAATCCTTACACAAAACTCTCAATGCATTGAGCAAAGGAATGTGGTCGGAAGACAAATGACTAGCTTTAGCTATTCTTGGAAAATATACTTCCAATTTCCACCAACTTTATTAATCCTATAGTTAATATTTTTGCATCTTTAATGTTTCATTTATGTTATTGAGGAAATGAAGAGCATACTTAGTAAGCATTTTAAATATTCAGCAAATACATGAAGGCACATGTGTTTGAATATTTTCCATCCATACCTTTTCCTTTTTTCACTTTCCTGCACTAAGGAGCCCTTAGTTGAAATTATCATGTATTTTGATAAGTTTATAGAAGATATGGAAGGAAAATGCTATCTAGATTAGCTAGTATAACCTTTTGCACGGAGCAGGATTATCCTGCTTTGTAAGTGATAACCTTGTATGTAGGTATATGTTAGAAAATTCATGTTCAATTTATCTGTAATCCAAATCCTTTTCTGTATACTCATTAAATAGATTTTTTCAAACATTTACAGTTGTATGTTCATGTAAATTAAAATTACACGTATCTATTTCTTTAAAAACTTAGTTGTATAACCATTTTACTCACGTCTTGTATTACAATAGCATCAGTTTGAGCCCTGGACTCAGTGGCTCCTCCCTTAGGCTGAGAGAAGAGCTTTTGGATGTGGGCAAATTTATAAAAACCCTGGACCTCTATATATACAGTTACACTGAATATTTCTAACTAGGTTATTGCCCTGTTGTGTTGGCAGTATATACACATAGGGTGGGATCCAAAAAAGGTACTTAGGCCCCACTATGTTGGCACTACGTACAGAGGAATTGACAAAGGTACTTACGGTGCTCAGTCCCCTTTTTAGCCACCCTTGCCATCCACAAAACTCCCTTCTGATTTCAGCCTAATCTGTAGGTACCTGCAGTCGCTTCTCACCTCAAATTTTGCAATAAAAGTTCCTAGTTCTGTGTTTCTGCCTCTGAGCGTATGCACTGGCTGCTTGTCTCCTGCCTATGCCCCAATATGATTGACAAAGTAGATTGGCTGCCAGAGTTGTGCACAGGGCCTGATCCAATAGGTATGATTAGAGGTCACCTTACTCCACATGAGACTGCCATGTTATGAGAGGGTAGAAAGGAAAAGGAGGAGATTGTCCTTATGTCCTTTTAGCCTTGAGGTTTGGCCTATTGGTGGTTCATTGATGTGTGTCAGAAAATCTTATCAGGCATGACATTCATTAGACATAATACTTGTTTACTGACAACAGTGTCTAAAGATGTCATGTGAGATCATTATAGACAGGTGGCATAATTCCAGTATTTTTGTAGTCACTTTTATATTTAATAGGATTGTGTATTTTTTATTTCACTTCTAGTTTAAGTTCTAAGAGGAATTGTATCACAAGCTTTAAAAATGAGTAGTCCTGTGGCACCTTAGAGACTAATTAAAACATGTGGAATCATGAGCTTTCATGGGCAAAACCTGCTTCATCAGATGAATTGGAATGGAAATAAAAGAAACCAGGAGACCTATATAACAGCAGAAGTACCTGTCAATTGAGGACCCATGTTAATAAAGCTAATTAAGTGGGCTGGTTGTGTCCCATACCTGGCTCTGTAATTGGTTAGTGAAATTCCTTTGTAGAAGAATGGCTTATGGATGTTGAACTTAGATTAATGGGCTAATAGAGTAGTTGATGAAATTTGCATCGACTATTTGATTAGTTGATAAGGGTGCCTCAGCTTTTGCAGTGTAGCACCAGCCGTAGGACTGTTGCTACACTTCAAAGGCGAAAGTGTTGAGGCACATCTCCCGCTAGCTCCGTTGTCCCTGTGGTGTTTCAAAGCAGCAGCACTGCATGGAGCCCCACCCCAGGCTCGATGCGGTGCTGCCACTTTGAAACGCCGCCAGAAGCCTGGCGTCAGGCTTCCTTGCTGACCCTGAGCTTCATGCGATGCTGCCGCTTGGGAATGCCGCGTGCAGCTTGGACCAGTTGGGGACTCCCCAACTGGTCCCAGGCTGCTCATGACATTTCAAAGCGGCAGCGCTGCATGGAGCTCAGGGTCTGTCCTGGGCTCTATGCGACACTACTGCTTTGAAGCACCCCCTTGTCTCCCTCCCCCTTGCTGCCTCTTTCTTAGAGGCAGCAAGAAGGGGAAAGTGACTAGTCAACTATCCGATAAGCATTTGCTTATCGGATAGTCAACTAGTCGTTCACATTCGTACTACAGCTATATGTGTGTGTGTCGAAGCAAACGCCTCAGTTTACGCGGCTAAACAGACAGTTTTATTGGCCAATAAAAGCGAAGTGAGCCAAACGTGGTCTCAGCAAAGCCGGGTCCAGTAAGGCTGCCTAATACAATCAATCCTTCACAGCCAATCCGAGACTGTCTTCAGCTTTGAGGTGCATGGCTGTGGGCACATTTGTGATAGTTGAGACCAAATTTTGCATGATATATCTCCAGTCATGCTTCAGCTCAGCTTCCATGCCAAACCAAGGCAGCTTAGCCAACCCTTTATTGCCCACACTGAGGTCAATCAATCCTTGTACTGGTGGAAATACCCAGCAAATGCATTTACACATGCAACCTCTCTCCCCTACTCCCTAGCCTGTCTTCAGTCCTCACCACTGACAGAATTGTCAGAATGCAGGGTGTGAGCATATGTTTATCAGATAGTTGACTAGTGATGAGTAACTCAACTAGTCCCTTCCTCCCTGGCTGTCTCTGGCTGTCTCTATCAGAGAGAGGCAGCAAGGGGTGGGGAGCAGGAGGCAGTGCTGGGGGGGCTGTCTTAAAAAACGGTTCTTTCCAGCACCATCTTGGGCGGGGGGCAAGAGGGCAGCGAGGAACTGGTGGCGCTTCCACTTTTTAAACAGCAGAAATGTTGCGGGGAACACTCCTCCACTGGCCTCCACATTTGAAATGTAGCAAGAGCCAGTGGGACTTTTACTACATTTCAAAAGCGTAAGCGCCCTTGGGAGTATGGGGCCAGCGGGGGACTGTTTGAGTTCCCTGCTGGCCCTGTGTTCCCCGCGGTGCTTCCGCCTTTGAAATGTAGCAAGAGCCCTGCTTGCTCCTGCTACATTTCAAAGGTGGAGTTACCCTTATCAACTAATCAAATAATTGATGCAAAGTTCATTGACTATTAGTTAAATTTGGTTTAATCAACATCCCTAGTGCACATCTCAGACACAGGACAAGCGGTCATCCACAAAGGTGTGTCTTCATATCAACCACCTCAAACTCAGTGGTCAGGAGTGTTTGTGCTCGTTTACTTCTAATAAACAGAAAAACACGCACACATATTATGACAGACAACACGGAGTGCATGTACTACTTCTATTGTTGGAAGTATTATGTTGCCTTCCCTTTGTGCAGAAGAGCTAAAATTAGGGTACTGGTATATTTTCCACAGTGTTACAATACCAGCAGCCTACCTAGGGGGAGTACACAATCTGACAGCAGACAATCTGTCTGAAGTTCCCATACAACCATAAGTGGTAGATAAACTCAATAACACTTCACAGCATATTCAGACTGTGGGATACTGATGGTAGGTCTGTTCTTCACTTATCTGAGAAAGAAATGTCCATGCTATCCTTCTCTCATGGGACATGGCCCTTCTGTACACCTTTCCCCCATTCCTTCTATTGCTGAAAATCCTGTTAAAATTGAGGGCAAACATAAACTCAATGCACCCACTTGCACTACCCTTTCTTGTCACAGCTGGTGATGTTATCTTCTATCACAGAACAAAGAACCTAACCTATGGATACTTCAGCTTAAGACCTGACTCCTTCATGGTCTCAACATATAGAT